GACTCGCCGTCGACGCGAGGGCGCGCTGAGGTGGGAGGCCGTGGCGTGTATCCTCCTGGCAGCAACGGCACCGGGGGCCGAGGCGTTGGCGGGGGCCATGATGGCGGAGGTCGCGCTGGATGATGTGAGGAGAGAGGAACGGTTGGCGGCGAATGATCTGGAAGAGCGACCTGCGCTGACGCTGACGCCTCGAGAGATGGCTCGACGCATTGTGGAGGAGAGGGAGGAGAAGGGAAGAAGAATAAAAAGACGGGAGGGGGGGGCGGGAGAAGAGGAGGCGGGAAGCAGCAACGGGTGCAAGGGAAGGCACGAGGTTCGATCGCTTAGGGGCAATCACTCCCGGTCCAATTGGGGCTTGGGCAAGATAGGCGTCTACCGATGGGCACTGACTGATTCGTATCCTATCGCGACAAGCAACTACAAGATGCAGGCACAGACACTGACACAATCAGAGAGTGAGAGGGGGCGGCAAGAAGCTGTGACATCGTGGTTCGGCCATGTCCTTATAAAGGGCGGCCGCCGCCGGCCATCGGCATCGGCTATCGTAGGAGGTACCAAACGCCCTGCTATCTGGGCACGCCCTGACCTGAGCCTCAGCGCGCCTTGTCTACCTTGTCTACCTACCTTCCCTACCTAGGTAGGTACCTATCTTACCTTGAGGTAGGTAGGTAGGTACCTTACCTACCACAGGTACCTTGGGTGGTAGATGACTTGCCCAGTCTGGTAACCAATCCACGACGTGCCCCCTCCCAAAGCCCCCAAACACTGGCTCCCAGCGCCAAACAGCGGGGCGGGGTAGCCTGGTCCCCCATTCATTCCCCAGACATTGACTAAGAGATACCCGGCCCCTCACGCCCAACCTCGACCCCGTCACCCGGCCCTCAACCGCCCAGCCGAAGCGTTTTCCCCCAATGCCGCTGCATGCCGAACCTCCCCCATCGAGCCCGGCTACCATTAAGCGACACCGGCGCCCGGCCTCGTCTGCTCTGCACTGCTTTGGGCATGACTCTCTCACCACCAGTCACGCATACCGTGAAATTAAAAGTCAACGTGAATTCTGAATCCTACTGCGCCAGAGCTCCTCTTGTTCCCCCCCCAGTTACACTGACCAAATACATCATGCATCTCCGAGGGAATCAATCGATAGGGGGAAAAGTACTAATCAACCTTGGCTTCGTGTCCGCTCTCTTTTCTTCCCTGCTCGTCATTGTGACGCTCCCCCTTGTAGGCCACCGCTCCCGTCCATGCCGGCCGGGAGGGGGCCCTCGCAGTCCTCGTGCCACCATCCGCGCCGCCACTCCATCTACGACTGGCTCCTGGTAGTGCGCTTGTTGACTCCTGCTTGACAGACTCCGCGCCCGAAGCAGCCGCCTTGGTCGCCTTGTCCTTGACGTCTTTAGGCGCCGCCTATGCAGTCGCCCGCCGGCCTTCTTGACAGCAGGGAGCGGCGCTGCCACCGCCCGGCGCAAAGCTGGCAATGAAGACCAAGAGCGGGGCCAAAAGCGCCCGGAAGCCACCCGCCAACCTCGGGAACAAAA